GTGTGTGTGTGTGTGTATATGCATATATAGATAGATAGATAGATAGGTAGATATGCATTTATATATATATATATATATATATATATATATATATATATATATATATATATATATATATATATATATATATATATATATATATATATATATGCACTGAAAGATACACATACATAATACACATGTATACATGATATATGTATTTATATATAAATACATGCGTGTGTGTGTGTGTAAAGATTCCAAGAAAATAAAACGATTTCCAGCAACATGGTAACGGAATCCCCCCCCCCCTCGTTTCTGTCCAGAACTGTGAGTCTAAATTAATTCACTCGGTGCCTCTCAGGTTCACAAATTATTTGCTTTTCTGTGTAATTTAAAGGTCATTAAAATCATCGTCACCCAATATATCATTCAGTATGAAGCATACATTTGATAATAAGCTTACCTTGTGTCAACTTGATGAAGGCAAACTTTATTACTCTGCAGAATATTTTGCAATCATGCAAATGTATCATCTGTGTCACCGTTAATATTACCTTTTATGATAAAGAATGGCATTGCACGTAATTGTAAATAACGCTGAAATATCATATAGAGAATGAAAAAATGAAGCCCTGGACATCGAAACAGCGCCGGCAATATTATAATTACCTAAAGGTGTTTTTAGTCGTGTATTGTGAAACGGACTGTAAAGATGTCAGTTACTTCACAGGAACTAAATATGGAAAGATTACTAACAGTAAATCGTTTTCCCATTTGTAATAATTAAATTCTTTAAAATTACCCGCCCTTTTTCTCAGATGATATACAAGGAGGAAGCCGAGAAAGGCTAACATGCTAGTAAACCTTAATGAGCGCTGCGTTTCTTCGTCCTTTTCCTTTTTTCTTCTTCTACCTCTTCTTCCTTTTATTCTCCACGATTTCCTTCTTCGTCTTCCACTTCTTCCTTTTATTCTCCTCGATGTCATTCTTCTTCTTCCTCTTCTTCTTTTCATTCTTCGAAGGGTTTGTCAAAAAATGATATTTCGACTTCAGATTCAGTTAAAAATCAAAATTCATGTGCCTGTGACCCCGCTCGCCTCCTCGCCAATTCGCCGCTCGGGCCATGGGCACCCCGACCCCCAACCTCCAACCCCGACCCCCGACCCTTAACCTCCGACCCACGACCCCCAACCTCCGACCCCCAACCTCCTACCCCCGACCCCCAACCTCCGACCCCCCCAACCTCCGACCCCGACCCTTAACCTCCTACCCCCGACCCCCACCTCCGACCCCCGACCCCCACCTCCGACCCCCAACCTCCGACCTCCGACCCCCGACCCTTAACCTCCGACCCACGACCCTCCGACCCCCCTCCTACCCCGACCCCCAACCTCCGACCCCCGACCTCCGACCCCCGACCCCCCAACCTCCGACACCCCGACCCCCGACCCCCACCCCCGACCCCAACCTCCGACCCCCGACGACCCCCGACCCAACCACCCCCGACCCCAACCTCCGACCCCGACCCCCCTCCGACCCCAGACCCCCGACCCCAACCTCCGACCCACGGACCCCAACCTCCGACCCAACCTCCGACCCCCGACCCCAACCTCCGACCCCCGACCCCAACCTCCGACCCCGACCCCAACCTCCGACCCCCAACCTCCAACCTCCGACCCCCACCGACCCCCAACCTCCGACCCCCAACCTCCTACCCCGACCCCCTCCGACCCCCAACCTCCAACCTCCGACCCCCGACCCCGACCCCCAACCTCCGACCCCCCAACCTCCACCCCCGACCCCCAACCTCCGACCCCAACCCCCAACCTCCAACCCCCGACCTCCAACCTCCGACCCCCGACCCCCAACTTCCGACCCCGACCCCCAACCGCCGACCCCCAACCTCCGACCCCGACCCCCAACCGCCGACCCCCGACCTCCAACCTCCGACCCCAACCTCCGACCCCCAACCTCCACCCCCGACCCCCAAACCTCCGACCCCCGACCCCCAACCTCCGACCCCCAACCTCCAACCCCGACCTCCAACCTCCGACCCCCAACCTCCGACTCCCACCTCCGACCCCGACTCCCAACCTCCGACCCCCAACCTCCGACCCCCGTCCCCCAACGCCGACCCCGACCTCCAACCTCCGACCCCCAACCTCCGACCCCGACCCCCAACCGCCGACCCCGACCTCCAACCTCCGACCCCCAACCTCCGACCCCCAACCCCCGACCCCCAACCTCCGACCCCGACCCCCAACCGCCGACCTCCAACCTCCCCCCAACCTCCGACCCCGACCCCAACCGCCGACCCCCGACCTCCAACCTCCGACCCCCAACCTCCGACCCCGACCCCCAACCGCCGACCCCAACCTCCGACCCCGACCTCCAACCTCCGACCCCCAACCTCCGACCCCCGACCCCCAACCGCCGACCCCCGACCTCCACCTCCGACCCCGACCCTTAACCTCCGACATATATATGTGTGTGCGTGTGTGTATAAAGACATACGCGCGCGGGCGCGTATCTGTAAACACTTTATACACCCAGAATTAGAAGGGCTATATGAGCTACAGTTGCTTCCAAGCCTCTGCTTTCACAATACCTTCTCAAATTAAGCTGGTCCCTTAATCCAATATACCTTTATCCTTCCCATCTTCGTCCCGCACACAGGTAAACGCTTGATCCTTCCCAGAGTTGCTTATTTATTACTTTCCTATTTGCTTGTGGACCGCGTCAGCTATTAAGTGTTCAAGCAATAAGAACGTGGAAATTCACATTGCTGCATATCCCTTGCATTTTCTCCAGCTTCATATATTTGCTAATGACTTCCATAGTGGATTTTACCCTTTTTACAGCTCAGAAAAACCATGCTTCTCAAAACCATTGTATAATCCGCTCAGTTTTTGGTCAGCTTAGGCGTCTCCTGCCACCGACCCTTCTTACCTTTTTGCGCTGAGGAAATTCTCCCTAGATCATAGTGCTAAGAAGGGTTTACCTGAATTGTCTCCCATCTGGACACTGTTAGAGGGGCGAGAGAGAGAATGAGAGAGAGAGAGAGAGAGAGAGAGAGAGAGAGAGAGAGAGAGAGAGAGAGAGAGAGAGAGAGAGAGAGAGAGAGAGAGAGGGGAGATTGAGAGAGAGAGAGAGACAGAAAGAGAGTCTGAGTGGAGCGATAGATATATACATATATGTAGAGAGAGTGAGAGAGAGGAAGATAGAGAGTAAGAGTTAGAGAGAAAGAGCGAGAGAAAGTGAAAGATTATGAACGTAAATTGCGGAGAGCAACTCGTTGATATTACGTAACTAGCAAGTAACGCCAATGATGTTGGTTAGCAGCATTCGAGCGCGTTTTCCCGTGACAGCTAAATGGGTGCCCTTGCATAGTGAATGATAAACGCCATTAACCTAAGTCATCCATTAGCTGACTCCAGGCTGACAATGTCACTTAATGGATAGCACCTACTGACACTCCGACCTAACACTAAATTGTACATTGGGTTAGTCAGTTGATTTGTACCTTCGATGTAACTAAGGATCGATAAACATACAAGATTAAATAGCATTTTTGTGCGTGGATCAAAGAAGCCTTTTAAAACTCTTGTAGGGTAATTAGTTTCTCTCATTCTGTCTATGGCTGTCTAGCAGTCTGACTATCTATCTATTCATATATCTATCTTTCTCTCTCTCTGTGTTTCTGTATATCCGGCTCTCCAACCCACTCACTCACTCACTCACTCTCTCTCTCTCTCTCTCTCTCTCTCTCTCTCTCTCTCTCTCTCTCTCTCTCTCTCTCTCTCTCTCTCTCTCTCTTCCCTTCCCTCCCTCCCTCTCCCTCTCTCCCTCTCTTCCTCCCTCCCTCCCTTCTTCCCTCTCTCTCTCTCTCTCTATGCCTTATGTAATTTCTGGATTTCCCGCCTCCACCTAAACGTCACCCGATGACAAGCGTCGAAAATTCTGAATTTTTGTTCCCTATTCTGTACCCTGATGGTTAGACGCGGTCTATTCGAGTTTTTTATACATACACGCACATACAGTAATGCCCATACACATACACACAAACATATATATATATATATATATATATATATATATATATATATATATATATATATATATATATATATATATGTATATATATATATATGATATATATATATATATATATATATATATATATATATATATATATATATATATATTGTACTGCCTCCAGTAAAACACTAGCAGTCAGTTAAACCTTTATTGTCATGTTCACAAGCTGGTAGGTATGAGCAGTGTATCCAACTTGCAAGATGACAACATACACGTACGCGTGAACGTGCACGTGATTGTGAGGTGAAAAGAGTGTGGCTAGCCCAAATCTTCATAAAACAAGAATAATTTAAAAGTACGCAGCACAAGACGTCTCACGTGGCTCTCTAGAGGGGCTCCGCGGATTCACAACAATGCGTTTTTGTAGGGCGTTCGTACAACTCTAACGTCACTGTAGCCAACGTTACAAAAACTAAATGAAATTAAATAATCATTCTCATGTTAATACATTAAATCAAATAAATTCTTGATCTAAATTCTATATATATAATATCAGACAAGGAATCCTTGATTCCTTTACACTCCCTGCCTGATATCAACAAATTTGATATCACTACTCTAATACTGATTAAATGACAAATAGGAACTGAAATGTGACTTGTTCAAATAAAAAATAGCTACTTAGCACCAGAAACCAAAAGAATTAACTCTTGTGTACACAACTGGCTTTCCATCTCTCATAACCTTTAACTCCACTTTCCTTACTTTGCCATCTTCACTTTGGATAGCTCTTACAACAATTCCATATGGCCATTGTGTACGACAAACACTTCTGTCTTTCAATAACACAACATCACCTTCAGTGAGACTAGGTTTTGCACAACACCATTTTCTACGTTCTTGGAGTGTGTGCAGATATTCTTTTTTCCAACGATTCCAAAATATTTCTGAGAGGGCAGAAACACGTTTCCATTCTGTTTTCAAAAGTCTTTTGTATCAATTTCTCCTACTGAATCTTCTACATGGTCTATTCCAACTTTCTGAGTAAGAATGGTGGCAGGTGACAAGATGAAAGGGTTTTCTGGATCAGTTGATACGTTTACTATTGGTCGATTGTTCACTATGGCACATACTTCTGCCATGAAGGTTGATAACACTTCATGCGTCAAAGTTTTATAAGGAGTTTCAGCTAGCATTGACTCTAAGATCTTCCGGCAGATTCGAATGAGGCGTTCCCATACACCTCCCATGTGCGATGAATGGGGAGCGTTGAAGATCCATTTAGTGCCTGTTTGGTACAGATGGTCTACTATCTTCTTTTCTTCCACATTTACTGCATCTATCTTGAGGCTATCAGTTGCACCAACAAAGCTGAAGAGGACATTTCTTCTACCAACTCAATGTGTATTGCTCTTGTTGTAAGACAAGTGAACAAAATAGCCCACCGTTTAGAATTTGCTGATCCACCACGAGTTCTGCGTGTCATTATAGTCCAAGGTCCAAAAGCATCAACTCCAACATTGGTAAAGGGTGGAGTATGTTCTAAGCGATCTGCTGGTAGATCACTCATCAACTGGACTTCTTTACCTCGTAACTTTCTACACTGGACACAGGAGTGTAAGATTGATGAGATCAACGTTTCACGCCTGTAATCCAATATCCACCAGATCTAACAGCTCCTTCTGTAAGATGACGTCCTTGGTGTCGAACACTTTGGTGATAGTGACGTACTATAAGTGTAGAAATATGACTTTTACCAGGCAAAATGATTGGATGTTTCTGGTAACTTCCAAGACTTGATTGTTGCAATCTTCCGCCAACCCTTAACACACCATCTTCATCTAAGTACGGGTTGAGAGCCATAATCAAGCTAGATTTTGGAAGATGCATTTTTGCTTCAAGAAGTCTAATTTCTTCTTTGTAAGTTTCCTTTTGAACTGCTTTGATCATAAATATTTCAGCTTTTCTGAAAGACTCTACACTTCTATCAGCTCTACCTTTAAATGATTTGGCACATGCACATCTCTGCAATAAAGCAACAGTATTTACTAGGCGATACCTCAGAGAACCTTTCAAATCTGTGACACCCAATTGATAAATTGTCAATCACACAGGTTTTAGCTGCCTTTACCAGAGCATCTGGCCTTACTTCCTTATCATCTTCTGGTTGAACTAGCTGTGGAGTTTCTTGAGCAAGATCATGACGCCTACTCAGGAATGTTTCAGGTCCTTTCAGCCATATGTCATTACACGAGAAATCATTCACCATAGAGCGAGTTGCTCGATCAGCTGGATTCACAGATGTAGGAACATAATTCCATTGCTCTGGCTTAGTTTGACCTGTGAATACGGTTCACTCTATTCTTTTGAACACGTAGAAGTACACCCAACAGGGAATTATTTAGGTCAGGACCTGTCATCAACACATCATTCAATGATGTACCTCTAAACTTAGCAGCAGAGTCAAAAACACACCTGATACGACTAGGTTTCTTTGGATGATACACTCCAAACACTGGAAGATACCAACATTCTTCATTTTCTTTCAAAGGTGGTGCTATTTCAGCATGACCTCTTTCCAAAAGCTTTTTCATAAAGTCTAGGAAATGTTCTCTTTAACAGAATTGAACTGAAGACTCTTGGCTAGGCTATTGGCACGTCTCACAGCCATGGATTTATTGTTCGGTAATCTTTTCTTTAAGGGCTTAAAAGGTAAAGGTGCACTCCAGTTACCTGCTGGTTCTTTGACAAATTCTTTCTCCATTAACTTCAAGAACATTTTGTCTTCTGTGGATTTTCCAGGTTCGTCATCATTTTTGGTTCGGTGAAACACTGTAGAACCAATATCATTTTCCTTCCATGGTGTAAAACCGCTGTGATATCCTGTGTCTTCTTGTACACATATACAACTTGGACAAGGCTTCAAGACTGATGGACGACCATCAGGATTTACATATATTTTCCTTACATTCACATTCTTTGTTGCGTGATGCTTCCCCAGGCAGACTTCACCTATAATTACCCAGCCTAACTTCATCTTCTGGGCAAAGGGTGTACCTGGTGGACCTGTTACTTGATCTAGTACATGGTGAGCTTCGGGTAGATCTCTACCAATCAATAATTGAATCTGAGCCTGATCATCAAGAGGTGAATTTCTGAACCAATGTCTTTGAGGTGTGGATGAAGTCGAGCAATGTTGGGAGTTGGAATCTCAGTCCTATTATTAGGAAGTTCATCACATTCGATGACTGTAGGAAGGCTCATCTGTAGACTACCATCAACAGCTTGTATGCATAGTCCACCAGCTTTCCTTCCTGTCATAACTGAACGGCCAGAGCAACTAGTTATGATGTATTCCTCTGCCACAGAGCGAACATCAAAGAAATCTAAAAGCTCTCCTTTAGCTAAAGATTTGTTACTCTGATCATCTAATATAACATATGACTTCATACGCTTCCTCGGGTTACTCACATGAAAAACGTAAACTGGCAAAATTTTAGCACAAGACTTTCCAGGAAATTCCTCACATACACCAGTACTCTTGTTGGTCACATCTAAAGCTTGTTCACGTACTGACTCTTTAACAACACTCTGCTCCGGCTTCTCCCTGCCATGAGCCTTAGTACTTGTCTCAGGAACAGACTGAAATTTCTTCAAATGCATAGCAGTGCAATGGTATTTACTTCCACAGTCTTTACAGGTTATGTCCTCTGGACAATCTCTACTTAAGTGGTTCTTCGAGATGCAACACTTAAAACATATTCTATTTTCTTTCAGAAGTTTCTTGCGTTCTTCTAAAGACTTTGACTTAAAGCTTTTACATTCATGTAGAGAATGGTTGGTCCCATGTATTATACATTTAAGGGCTTCTTCATCAGGCACTACAGTCTTCTTTGTAGTTACTTTAAATTTATCTAGCTTTGAAGTCTTGTCTGTATGAGATTTTACTTCTGGCTCAAAATTAAATCCTGGATCATTATGGATTTGTGCAACGTCAGAAATGAAGTCTACAAAATAAGAAAAGGGTGGGAATAACACACCTTGTGTTTTCTTGTAGTTGGATGCTTTGTCTCGCCATTTTCCTTGTACTGAAGGAGGTAACTTGCTTCACAGGGTTTATTCCTGCAGATGTGTCAAAGTGTCCAAACAGTTTCTCGTAAAGTGGATTTTCTTTAAGCGACTGTACTTCGCAAAGAAGATCATGCAGATCATACAGTTTCTTGGGATCTCTGAACGTAACCTTAGGAAACTTTTCTAGTTTCTTCTTGATAGATGCTTCAATAATCTCAGGACTGCCATATCTATCTTCAAGCCTCTTCCATATCAACTTGATGCACTTACTTGGATCATGTATATTGGAAGTCCTTATACTCTGTGCAAATTTGGACGACTCAGGGCCCAGCCACCGGAGTAAAAGGTCAACTTCTTCCAAAGACGTAACATGCAGATCTTGAATGGTCTGCTGAAAAGTAGTTTTCCAAGGCACATAAGACTCAGGACGATCATCAAATGGACTGAAACGTGCCAGGGAAAGTTCCTTCTTCAAAAGGAAACGCGACAATTCTCCACAACAACTGTTACTCACAGGATTAGCCTTGGCATCACTGGGCTGACTACGAAGAGGTTGTATGACAGGCATAGCTTGTTCCAAAGAAGGGTTGAGATCAAATTCTGGTACCTTGTTCTGATCTTCCACGTACTGCTTGACACGACTTAAAGAATCTGCTGCCTCTTGCTGCAGGAGTTCTTGTGAAAGAACTTTCTGTTGTAACTGTACACCAGGTATTCTACCTGAAATAGATGACAACTTATCACTACTTTCTTCACACACTACTCTGTACTCAACTTCAGCCAACTGAGCATTGCGACGAGACACACATAATTCTAATTCTGCTTCAATTTCTGCCTCCTCACACTGTAACTTTGCTTTTCTTTTCTTTATTTCTGCCTCTTTCAATGCACTTTCAAGCTTAACCTTTGTGGCTTCAGCTTGTATTCTTTTACTTAACAACATAGCTGAGACACTTTCTGCAACTGATTTAGCACTTAATTTCTCCGAGCACTCAGACTTAACTTCTTCAACTGCATATCTTT